CAACCATTCTAGAAAACAGTTTGGCAGCTTCTTGAAAAGTTAAACATACATCTACCACATGACCTAGCCATTCTATTTCTAGGTATTTACCCAAGAGAAAAGAATGCATATGTCCCCACAAAAATGTTATCACCAATGTTTATAGTGGCTTTATTTTAATAGCCAAAAATTGGGAACAGCTCAAATGTCTGGCAACGGATGAAGGGATAAATAAACTGTGGTATTTCCATACAATGGGACACTATTCAGCAATAAAAGAATGAACTATTGATACAACATGAATATCAAAATAATTATGCTGAGTGTAAGAAGAGCACATGCTGTATCATTCTATTTACGTAAAGTTCTAGAAAATGCAAACTAATCTATAGTGACAGAAAGCAGATTAGTGGTTGCCTGGGGATGAAGGCAGGACATATATGGGCAGGAGGAAGGGATAACGTAAAGAAGGAAACTTTGAGGTGTAATGATTATGTTCTGTAGGGGAAGAGGGAGAATCCCCCTCTGCCCTTTCCCTTAAGGTTCTTATGGCCGGCCAAATAATTAACAAGACAGCTTAGCAGGAGAAAATAATACCAAGTTTAATAACATGTATACATGGGAGAAACTCAGAAATAAGCAGTTCGTCCTTCTGTCCAAGCTGCTTGCTTAAGTATTGTAGCTAAAGGCGAGGAAGGTGTTGGAGGTGGGTAGTGGTTTGGGATTTCAGAGGGGAAGAAGACAATTCACATGGAGATAGAAATGCAAATGTTTGTCCGACAACTCTTTTCAGGGCCACCTATAGAGAATGTGGCCAGGGAGAGACAGAATTTTTGATAAGAGGGGCTTGCTGCCTTTCCTACTGTAACATCTATTTTACATTATATTACAGCCATCATGATAATAACTCTTTCCTGAAACAGATCTTTTATTTTAAATTCTTTAGGCAGTTGGGAGGGGAAACTCAAAGGTTCTTCCTGAGTTTTCTGAGTCTTTATCGTCTTCAGCTCAAAATAACGTGCATACCAGAGTGGTGCATCTTGGGGTGGCCTGCCCTGAGCACCATCAGTTCATTAACTTGACTGTGGGGAGAATTTCATGAGTGTATACATATGTCAAAACTAATCAAATTGTGCATTTTAAATACATGCAGGTTTTTGTCTGTCAATTATACCTCAAAAAGCTATATGAAAAAAATAATAATGGGTACCATTTAATAGGCACCTACTTTGTGAGAAGAATGTTATATAAATAATTATTAATCTTCACTCAAGGTAGGTATTAGCCCATTTTACAGGTGAGGAAATTGGGTCAGAAAAGCTAGGCAATCAAGCAGCTATGCCAGGCTCAATCCAGATCAAATGTCTCCAAAGCTGGGGCATTTTCTCTGTATAGTGATACCTTCCCCTAGTGGTGAATTCCCAGCATCCAGTCACAGGTTATAGCCCCTGGCCTAAGCCAGACTTCTAGGAAGGATTTGAAAGAAGGAGCGTGAGGGGCTGGCATCACTGAGAGGACTCCATCTCCCTTCAGGGTTGCCATTGCCACAAATTCCTCCAACAGCCAAACCCAGCCCATCCCAGGTACTGGGCCAGACAGGCTCAGGCAGGAAGCAGGCTGTACCTGCTCCCCAGAACATTCTTCCCTCTGAAGCCAGAGTGGTTTGGTGTGAAGGACCCTGACCAGACATTCAGGAGAGACTCCAGTTCCACTTGTGTCTTAAGCAAGACCCTTCCCCTTTCTGAGCCTCCATTTCCTCAGATGCAAGATGTGAGTGCCAACCAACAAGCTTTCCAAGGAACCCTTTCAGCCCTGATTCACATTCTGAGCCCCCTGCTGCAGTGAGCTTTTTCTCCTTCTGAAGATGATCAGGTACCACAGATGAAAAGGATTCTTGATTATCTATGAACCTGTACACTCAGCTCCCCCATCAACCCCAACTCCACAGGCAACGACACCTCCCCCATTTAGCAGTCCCTACCCAAATTGTTCCCTCTGCCACTCTGCCTCCTCTCCTCAGCCCCACCGTCTGCAAGGATCTTCCAAAGACCCTGACCCACCATTTGTTGCTTTGTTCCCCAGTTAGCATAGTGAGCACTTAAAACTTTTCAGAGGTCTGGGAACCCTGGGACACACAGAGCAATTTGAAACATAATTTCACCCCTTAGAATTCTTGCAGGAAAGGCTAGAGATGAGAGGTTGCAAGATAATCTATGTCATATACAGTCTTGACATAGGGGAGCTCCTCCCCTTCTCTTTTGTCACACCTGTCATGTCCAAGCTGGGCCAGAATCTCTTGTCCAAACAAGCCAGGATATTTGGGTGGGCACATAGTAGGCTTTCAGTAAATATCCATGGAATGACTTAAATCCCTCTTACCAGAGGAATAATCTCTTACCCAAACATGAAGGAAAACCAAACAGATCCATCCCTCTGTTCCCCTAGAAAGAGCTCTGAGAGTCAGAGGCTGAGAAGACCCCTGCTCTGGCTGAGAGACTTATAGCCACCAGCACTCCACTTCCCCTCCTGAGGTGTCACATGAAGGAGGGGACTATGTTAAAGAACTTTATGGATGCTCCCAGCTCTGATGCTATCTTACCTTACAAGGAAGAGCCCTTGGGATTTACAAGGAACAGTGTGGCCTTTTGTAAACCTCCAAGCACTCTGAGCTGCAGCTGTTCACATGGCTTCAGAGATGGAATGATGTTCCCTGAGGGAAGAGACCCCACTTGTTGGAACTGGATTTAGAAACTCCCGCCCCTGTGGGCAAGTACTTGCTGTAAAGAGCGCTCAACTAACTTTGCAAAGCTGTGGGGGTCTCAGACAGGCTTAACTTACATCTCTGCTGCCTATGAGCTGTGAAATCTTGGGCTAGCCTCTTGACCTCTGCGAGACTCAATTTCCACATCTACCACATGGGGATAGAAATACCTACCTCATTAGGTCATGGCAGAATTAAATGAGCTCATGCAAACAGAGCACAAAGCATAGTGCCTGGAGCCCTCATGAGCTCAGTCCACACCCTTCCCTTCCCTTCCCTTCCCTTCCTCATATACAAACCTGAAGGTCCTCACAATAAGGTCTTCTCAGCTGGTTTCACTGACCTGGAAGACCAAGCTCCTGATGAGGAAGAGCACTTAATTCCAAGCACACCACAGGGGCACCTCAAGAAGTACACTGGGGCTGTGGCAGCAGATACAGGTGAGGGGCTGAGACAGGTAGACGCAGGGCTGGCAACTGGGGACCATCCAGCATGTCCCCTTGCCAGTTGCAGGCAAGGGCTCAGTGATCAGGTGGCGTCCGGAGCAGTTCCCTATGACCCCCAGCCTGCCTCCCCAGAAGCACATAATTCACCTCAGACACCGATAATCACCAGCTATGTGACCTGACTGTTTAAGATAAGGGTGTGGGACCAGATCGCTTCTATAGTCCTTGCCACCTTTATAATTTTCTGAACTACAATTCTACAAAGGTAAACTGGTGCTTAACTGATGCCCCACCTACTCCCATCCCCTCCTTCAGAATACAGGAAGGAGGTGGGGAGAGAGGGCCAAGAGGTTCAGAAAGTAGAGGGTGAAGGGCAGAGGCTGGGGCTCCATTACGCTAACTTAATTAGCGCTAATCTGCTGACAGCAGGGCCTTGAAGAAAAAGGCTTTGTTTAAATTTCACATTTGGCAGGAAGTACCCCTTCTCCTCCTCCCCTCTCTCACCCCCCATTAGAGCTTATGAGTCAAAAGCTCTGATTTCAGTCCTGGCTCTCACATCCAGCAGTGCTGGGGCTTCCTTTTCACACTTTTCTGACCCCCTTGATTATTTCAGGAAGGAAATTGCCCCAGATGTCAGTCCATAAGTGGAGAGTTTTCATCTGCATTTATGAAAGGGTGTCAGTAATTCACAGACTCCCCAAGAAGCGAGAGCCAACGGGGGAAATGCCAGCTGACATCTCCATCAACTAGGCCTCCTACGGGGCCAGGAGCCTCACAGTATGCAAAACATTTCATGGGACCCTCACAAAGGTCTTATGAGATAATAGGGACAGAAATCTCACTCTTATTCATTCATTCAACCAACGCTTATAGAGCACCTACTGTTCACAGGAGAGGAAGTGGAGGGACGCACAAGTGAAGCAACTTACCCCAAGCCTCCCAGCCTGTTGGTGGTGGAGCAAGCACTGGAACCAGTGGTGTGCTGGTAATCTGAACCTCCAAAACAAACAAGCCCTTGTTTGTAGCAATGGCTAATTTCCACAGTATAAATTTTCCCACCATGGCCAATTTCAAGCTGCCAACGATTTTTAATAGCCAGTTTGCAAAATTCCTGACTATTTAAAAATGGGCTCAGAACAGCCTCCGGACTAGAGGCAAGTTCTTGTGGCTCCTAATTGAGTGCTCCTGCCTCATCTCTCTACCCCCATGCCAGAGAAGTCAACATGCTGGGGAAGCTTAAAGAGTAACCTTAATGAGAACTATCTGAAGGATTGTTAACAGGGGTGGGATTTCAGACATGTTTTCTTTTCTTTCACATCAGTATTTTTCCAAATTTCCTAGGAACACATACTACCTTTATAATCAGAACATATCTAGGTAATTAAAGTCATTTTTAGTGAGCTTAGTGGAATGCTTTGCAATAACCTCCTCACATAATTTCTGTCACTCTCCCTTGGATTGAAGAGAGAGTGAGTGTATTTCCCAACAGCTCGGCTTCCCTTGCAGAACAGAGCAGGTGCACCCAGGTTACGCATTCACCTGAATCGGGTGCAGTCTTACCTGGAAGGTAAATTTATTCCCTTTGGAGTTCACATTTCACAACAATTGAGAAAATACAACTGCCTATTAAGATTCCAACAGACCTGCTCTGAAAAATCAAAGACTCTTTTGCCACCAAATTACCTTGCCTCCCAATGGGCTGAACCAGAAACAACTGCTCCTTTCCCGAGCCTTAGAGAAGGAGGTGTCCACCACTCCACCACAGGAAGCATTCTGCCCTCTCTGTCCCCAAGCTGGGATTCCAGGGGTCTTACCTCCACGCTGGACAGACCAGGGCTTGGGCAGGCTCAGGGAGGCCAGTTCATTTGAGCTGGGCTCCATGCCTTCCCTGCTTCTCCGGGCTGCTCATCACAGAGCTCTGCACAGTTGGCTCTACCCTGCCTGCAGGGGAAAAAAACAAAGCAGAGTTGCCGCGTGAGCACCGGAGGCACATATGTTAATCCAGGCAGGATGCTGAGCACGCTCGCTCCTCCCACTCCCAGCCCTGGTCACTCCCGCCACTTCAGAGCCCCTCAGAACTACAGCCCTCCCCTGAAGGAGCCAGCCTCCTTCCCAGGGCTCAACCTGGCCATCCCGTTCACCCAGAGCCACCCCTTCTGGGGCTGAGCAATTTCTGAGTGAGCTGTCGATTAAGCAAAGCAAACTCCACTACAGTCACTGAATCCTTGTGCTACTTGCTATTATTCGTAAGAAAAGCAGGAGTAAGAAAAGTACCATTCAGGCCCCAAGTCTTGTGTTTAGCTAAGGCTTATAGACAAGTGATTTCAATCAACAAATACATCCAACTTGCTCACAGTCTCCCTTTGATCTATAGGATATTGTTTATAATGTTATAAATGTGAATTCAATTTCTAATTTATTTTGGGAGCATTTTTAACTGAGCCTAAATTTTCAGCCCATGTAGTACTATAGCTGTCAGGGTGGGTAGCACTTGTTTCTAAAGTAGTTATTGTTTTTCCTAGTGCCAAAGAAATTTGTGTTCAATCTAGAAATTTTAGAAAATATAATTGTCAAAAGAAGGAAAAAGTTACTCATTCTTTCTCCACCCAAGATAACACACTCTTCCTGGTTTTATTTTATCATCCAGATTTTTTACAGAGATGCAATAAAGCTAGGCATGGTTTAGCGCTGTGTCATCAGCAGTCCTCTGCAGCATCATTTTAATAGCTACATAATATGTCCCAATGTGACTGCACTATAAATTGTACCCCACCCCCAAAGGCTGGACATTCAAGTCATTTCAAACTTTTTTTGCTAGTTACAAATAGTGCTTAAAACTAAATCTTTGGGGGAAATCCATGGTTAATTCCTTAAGGGGCCGTCTTAGAAGACAAATTGCTGGGTCAGTAGTTTCCAAATTTCTCAGGCTTTTGAACAGTCTTGGCAGGCTACCTCCAGGTCTACTGTACCATGGAAACTCCTCCCAGCAACGGAGAAATGTGCCCATCCCTCCAATGCTCCCCTCCCCCGAGTCCCCAGTCCCTGCCTCACCCACATCCTTGCTCACCATGTGTAAATTTCTAGTGCAAATGAGTGCGGAGTTCCAGGAATCTGGGTTTTCATTTCTCATACTCCCACTCAGCTCAGCCCAAGTCTAAGGTCAGATCTAGGATGATAAAATGAGGTCCCCTAGTCAAGCATGGGGGTGGTGCATGAGTAAGAATTGGTAAGGAGGAGAAAAGTGAGAAATCCATTGAGGAACAGAGAAGGTGTGGTAATACAAGGACGGTGTCCAGGAGGAAGAGACCCTGAGATGCTAAGACAAACAAGAGTCATCTCATGAAAGGGCAGGAACTAACATCAGATGAAACTGAAGCTGAAGTCAGCCATTGGAGGGGGTGGAAATGTCAAGGTCTCACAAAGATTCAGGGCAGAACAGTGCAAATGACAAAGGCATCAGGTGAGATGGAAAAATAAAGAGTCGCTTGTGGCATCTGGGCACTTGGCTGCTGTCTATAATTAATGCCAACAAAACACCAGGAGCCAGAGTCACTGTGGGAAGAGTGGGCCAAGCCGGGAAGAAATGTCTACCTGCAAATGCAGCTGAGCTGGTGGCCACCTGGGAGCCTGCCAGTAAGGAGCCTTCCCTGGGAAGAGGAGCAAGGTGCTCCGGGGGTGGAAGGACTACTGGGCTGCTGATCCATCTGCCTCCTTAACAGGAAGGAGCCCCCCCACTTTCTACCTCTCTCTAGCCAGCCTCTCATATCCCTCCTTTTAGTCCAGGCCAAATCTTCAGTGGGAGATGGATAATTCACCAAGAAATCTGTCTAAACAGACTTAATGAATTTCTGTGGTCCTGTGACCCAGGCAAAGACCCCAGGGACCCTTGCCACTCCACTTCATGCACCCTGCACTCCAGCCACAGCAATCTGCAGACTAATAAGGGAATGTGGGGTTCCATCAGCGCTTCTTAAATCCTTTGGAAGATCGCTTGCAGACCTCCAATATTACTAAAATAGGCAAGTCATTCTACCTGCCTACCCTGCTCCCCACCCACTCACACACTTGGGACTCCCCTGATGGACAGACTGGAACTTTGACTTAAAAGAAATTCACCTATAAATAAGGGAGCTGGACCAATCAGACACTTTCAAAATTGCAACTATGAAAAAAGACTACAGTCAGCTGCTGGGGTACCCTAGAGCTTTAAGGAAAAATAGCAGGGGCACGATGAGAAGCAAATCCGTGCACACGATCAAGTGATGGGGCTGTGGGGCCCTGTTGAAGGCGAGGAAGCTGGCCTGCAAAGAGAATGGAAGAGGCCCAATGAGAGGCAGGCAGGAAACCGCGTGGCCCCGGAGAGAGCAAATGCTTGGTGACTGCCTAGGAGCAGTGAGGCTTGTCTGTACTTCCTACTTTTTATTCCTATTAGCATCCCCTGAATCCCTTCCATAAACCCCTGAAGAGCTTGGTTAAACCAGCTCTGGGGTCCCAGCTAGCTCCGGCTCACTGAAATCTAACGGGGCAGAGGGGTCTCCCATCATCCAGGCCATGGCTTCGTGGGAGGGCTTTGGACATGCACGGGGGCTGCTCGAAGCCTTTTTTTTTAACTTCCTTCCAAAGTTTATGGCGGGGCTTTTGATAGATAAAGCAACTAAACGTCAGAGTCCTGGATTGCAAGTGTAACTTGTACTTCGCCAAAACATGAGAAATAATAAGCTGTAGAGACTGTAAATTTTTCTATTAAGTGGCTTATACTAACTCCTCTATCACCCTATCCATGTTACACATTCAGCTGATCACACGGTCCCCTTGCATCCCCCTTGTCCCTGAGCCACCTACATCCTCATGTGCTTTCTTGCAGTTCTAATGCAGCACCCATTTAATTCACGACCTCACTGTAATCTGTGTGTCTCCTGCTCCCTGACCTCCCTCGCACCCCACAAGAGTCACTGGCTTGACATCTAATTTGGTTTCACTATTTTTCTCCCAAGGCCTAACCAGCCAAAGGTTTGCTCAATTCATTCCTCGTGCTCAGGGCCTGTTCTCTGTTTTATCTCTCCCTGCGCTCACTCCTGCCTGCACTGTCCCCCACCTTACAGCTCCCAGAAGCTCCTCACCTAATCCCCTTTCTCCTCTACCCTCAGTCAGACCCAGAAGCTTCAGAAGATGATCCTAAGGAAGAGAGCAGATAAATGAGAGGCTGCCTTGGCCTTATTAACTCCTTCATGCCTCTAGCAAGAGTTTCCTCCAGGTGGATAATGTGTAAAGCACTGACCAAAGACCAGAGCCAGGATTTAGAGAGCCCACCAAGAACCCAAGAACCCCAAGAAGTTCCTAAAATGAGCTAAGAACACACACCCTAAGAATTTCATGGCCCAGCATCCTCTGGACCATTACTAAAGGGCTGGTCGTGAGTCACAGAATGGGTTAGCCTGTCACAGGGGTAAGACTCTGGCCCCAGGTCCCTGGCTTAAATGAGCAATCAATACAAGGCACACAGGAGCCTTGGGGTAAAAGATAACCCTGTTAACCCTGGACCCATTATTCCACATTATCTGGGATGTGAGCAGTTGTTCTGATTGTGTTTGGATATGGAAGCTAAATCAGCTAAGAGCTTTTATCGATCCTTATGCATAAAACATTCCGGGATCTAGGCCTCTACAAGTTGGCTGAGTCCTGCATTCAGATCAGAAGACACTGCACCTAGAATACAATAAGAACTTCTGCTAAAATCAGGAGACTTCCTGGATTATTTCTGTCCTCCCCTTCTCTCTCAGAGCTCTCACCCCTTCTGGATGGTTCATCTGTGGGGCCCAGCCCCAACATTATGGGGCTCCTGTCCTAGACCAAGGGTTAACCACAGTCTTGCTTTTTTTTTTTTAATCTAATTTTTTTTTAGCAATTACTATGCACGAGGCACTCCATGTACTAAATTATTCACTTATTCCTCACACAATCTATGAAGCAAGGAGTGTTTTCTCCATTATCAGATGAGGAAACAGCTTAAGGCACAGAGCTGGTAACTGACTAAGCCAGAATTCCACACAGTGGCCTGTCTCCCTGAGGCCTTTCTTCCCTCCAGTGTTAGGATAGAGCCAGGCCAAACTCTTTCAATAAAAGACCTGAAATTAAAGATAAACACTGAATACATGGGTTCTGACAACAAGAGAAATGCTGTAAGGATTTATTTTCAGAGAACCAGGAAAGAGAAGCTCTTTTGTCACTGCCATATGTCCCACCCCTCCATGCCCCTAATCTCTGCTGCCCAAATGCAACGACTTGCACCTCATCTAATTCTAGAGTTACTTTAGTGTATCTAAATAGCATGCTAGGGCCGGCCCCGTGGCTTAGAGGTTAAGTGCATGCGCTCCACAGCTGGCGGTCCGGGTTTGGATCCCGGGAGCGCACCAATGCACTGCTCCTCAGGCCATGCTGAGGCCGCATCCCACATACAGCAACTAGAAGGATGTGCAGCTATGACATACAACTATCTACTGGGGCTTTGGGGGAAAAAATAAAT